ACATAAAGATTCTAAATGTTCTTTTAGAAGTCATTGTGAATATTTTAAATTATTACAATCAGTTGATAAAACTTTACCAAAGAAAGAACAATTAGTAAATCTTAATCAAAAAGAATCTTTAATGAGGATAAAGAAAATGTTTCGAGAAAGAAAACTTGATTATGAAATTTATTTTTGGATTAAAAGTTTTAAAAAAACTGGATCTACAATCTATAAAGATGAGCAAAAACTTTTATGAGAATTTAAATTGAATATCTTTAAACGAAAGAAGAAAAAGTTGTTGAAAAAGAAAGAAGAATTACTTAATAAACACGTTCTAAAGGTTATTAAAGATCGAGAAGAAAGATTTATTCAAGAAAAGATCTCTGGTAATCAAGCAGAAAATGAAAATTCAGATTTTTGCTTCACAATATCTATATGAAGCCCTGAATATCATCTCCAATCCCCATCACTTTAGTGAACTTAATGTTTACTAATTCTCAGTGATGATGAATTTATTTTCTTGGTTGATATTCAAATTGGTGTTTGAGAAATTTCAAGTGGAAGATCACCATTTTAAACTTTGAAATTCAAACCAGAGAAAGAATTTACAGAATGGATAATTTCAAATATTTTGATTTATTTATACTTTTTGACTCCAATTTCTTCTTCCATTAGGTTAAAGTTGATAAACACAATCTAGTTGAAAGACCATGAAGGAAAATCATTTGCTTAAAATGATAAGCAAATTGAACCAATTGTTGCTGATAAGCTTGCAACTTATTTATTTTATAATCTTATCCTAAACCCGAATATAAATACATAATATTAGGTGTTGTTTATTGATTGATTAAATAAATTCTACTTAGTGTCATTACCGAGTAGAAAATTCCCCTAGTAACTTTTAATCATGCAAGAACACGAAATTTATGAATTATTCAAAAAATTTTTAGCTTTTAGTGAAATGCAAAATTCTCAAATTCAATTAAAAAATAATGATGATGATTATATTTCTGTAAACACATATATATTTGATAATCAAAATAAACATACATTTTTTTCTTATTTTAATAAAATTAAATCAGTTGATACAATTCATTCATATCTTTATCCTAAAAATCATGGTGAATGTTGGAATTGTAGTAGAAATTATGATCATACATGTTGTGATGCATGTAAACGAGAAATAAAAGATTGTACATGTACTTTTATTTGTGGATTAACTTTTCCAATTGGTCGAAAAAATTCTAATGATGAATATGTTCAATTTGATTTATGTAAATGGTTTACATCAGGAAATGATTTTAATCATCGATGTAGAGGAATGGTAAATACACAAGAAGAATTAATTTTATATTCAAAAAAACAAGATTTAAAAAAAAATAATGAAATAAGAAATAAGAAAGTTTGCTTTAGATGTGGTGCTGATGATCATATTGTCTATAATTGTAAACAAAAAAAAAAATGTTATAGGTGTAAACGTAGTGATCATTTAGCTCGTAATTGTACAAATTATTATTAATTTTGTTTATTTATTTTTATTTATTGATATATTATTAAATAAATAATCTAGTTAGTGTATTTTCACCAACTAGAATTTTAAATACGTAATTAAAAATGACAAAATTATCTGGTGATTTTATAAATGATTTTGAAAAATTTCTTGAAAGTGTCTTACGTCAAGATATTTTTATTGCAAATAAATTTTATGAAAAACATAAAGTATATTTGTTAGATAAAGATACATTATTTAAAAATTATAATATAATGAAAATTGATTCAGAAAAATCATTGTTATTATTATTAAAATGTGCAAAATATGTATTTGAAAATACTTATCTTTCAACTATTAAAGAGGAAGAAGAATAAATTATCTAGTTAGTCATTTGATGACCAACTAGAATTTTAATTACGTAACAAGATGTTGAATCTTTTAAGTGAACCAATTAATATTGCAATCGATGGTCAAGTAGCAACAGGAAAAACATCAATTGGTAGTGAACTTGCAAGATTTTTAAAATACAAATTTATCGATACAGGCTTATTCTATCATTATTTTGCAGCAACATATTATAATCACCATGTGGATAATTTAAAAGTTGAAATAATTAAATCTAATATTACTATTGATGATTTAG